GGATACATAATGATTAACCGATTTCGGATTATTACTCGATCTCCTGTCCAACATCGGAGGAATCGTCGGCGTCTGCCTCGGGGTTTCCCTCATCACTCTCTTCGAGGCAATCGAGCTCCTCTGCTCGCGCATCCGCTGCAAATTCCTTCAGAGAGGAAATGTCATCGATGATGCCAAGCACTAATCCCATTAGGGCATCTTCTCTTGCAACTTCTACTTATAGATTAGCGTCCTTATAGATTAGCCCTATAGATTAGCGTCATGTTTTCAATTGCACGTTCATGTTTGTAATTATAGCGGAGAGACAGATTCATTTCGACACGAAAAGGAAATCATGGGAATTAAGGCCGTCCACAGTCCTTTAATCCAGGGGTTACCTGGTAAAAGCATTCATTACCTGTTGGAGCTAAATTAATTTTCCGGAAGAGTAATTCTTCCATCAGTGGGATTGAGTGATATTTCTTGCCGTTTTCCACACTCCATATGCACGACATTTAGAAAGAAAATCTCTTTATATCCGAAATGTTATACGACCGAGCTGAAATATTTCGTGGGATATGGCACGGATGAATTCGAATATGAACCTGGTAGCTGGTGATGGCGAAGAAACCGCAGTCAGCAAGGCAGGAGGCTTTAACTGGTTCTGACCACTTTTCAGAAAATCTCCATTAGACGCGGATTTCTGGGACAGAGTCTGGGAAAGACGCCGGATCAAGAGAAATGGCTATGATGTGAAATACCCAACCATGAGCATGTCAAGGGTACCCGCTGTTGGTTAAAGTGCAGGAAAATTGCAAGAGCAATGTATATGCAGCATGAACACCAGTCTCGGGAATGATTAAAAATGTAGAACTACGTACTGTAAAGTACTATGTACCGTAACTATGAACTATGTACTGTACAATGTTCCAATCTGATCTGATCGAAATTTTGATCTCTTGGAAACATAGAGGAAATTCAGTTTTTTTTCGAGCAAATATATTATGTTTCATTCAGTGGGTCTCACTCATTCTTCATGCACGAAATATATATTTTTTTAGTCTTCAGATCCTTCAAGAATGATTCTATTTTTTTTTCTCACGAAGGCCTGTTCCTGAACAGCAAAGTCAACTTTCCCGCGAAGTCCCTGTCAATCTTCGCCGATTTTACGACCCACACCCAGTCGCCTTGCACGTGGAAGAAATTCAGGAGACGAAATCGCGACCGCTGGCATAAATGCTTCGTGGAGACTCGCGGCGGCGGAATCGCCTGATGGCAGCTGGTTCTGTGACACTTTCCCCCCAGTTTGAGGGATGTCGTTGTGACCTCCCGCGGCAGACAACCGACCTCTCGCATTCCCTCCTGTCGACTGGCGGCGAAGGCGGCGAGACTCTGCTCGAAGTCGCCCTTTATTGGGTTTCACTTCGTCATTCTTGGAATTACTAAAATATGCAAAATGTGATCGAGCGACAGCTAGGACAAGGCCTTCCACATGTTACCCTTTTCGCTTTTACCTACGTAACCTGGAAAATGGATTTTTTCGCTCGACCGTAGTTCCAGCTGCATAAGGTCAAAATAACGATATTATTAATAATTAAAATTAATTAATATAATATTAATTATATTAATTATAATAAATAAATATTATTAATATTAACGATATTAATGTTTCTTGGAATGGGTAATGTGGAACCCATTATATGGCATTAAGAGGCATGAGGGGGCAAACAGAAACATCTCTTCCGCGTCTTCAGCACGCTTTTCCTTCTTCTTCATTCGATGACCTATCGCCTCGAAGAGAGTGATGAGGGAAACCCCTGAGGGGGTTTCCCTCATCACTCTCTTCGAGGCAATCGAGCTCGTTTGCTCGGTCATCCAAATTCCTCCCATGGGGAAGTGCGGACATCGATGAAGGCAAGCATTGATGTGATTGGCGGGGTCTTCTCGTGGGACTTCTGGATGCTGCACAGACTCCTGGGCAATGATTATACAAATAATGATCATGCGATTAGATGAGCATGTACCATATATAGTAGACTAGCTGTAACACCCGACGTTGCCCAGGGAAATTCAATATTTCAATATTTCATTCATCACAATTTGACGAACATTAGTCCTACGGTTACTGATCTCGGGTTTCGCAAAATGTGCTTAGGCCCCTTTCCCTTCTTCAACTTTATTTTTTTTCGAAGGGTTTTGACATTAAAATCTTTTTCAGTTCTTTCATTTTAATTTTTTTTCTGCTTTGTTGGTTTCTTGAATTTGAGATTCATTGTTCGCATTGACGTACAATTTCATTGCAAATACTTTGATTTCATATTATTCTATTTTTTTTTTCTTTAAAGCAATTTGATACACAAGGTTTTCCCATAAAGGGCAAAGACATAGAGCTTCTTTTTAGTTCCAACTCTTGAACGAACTACAAAAAGTTGGCCATGATAAATGCAAGGAGTCTCCAGATTAATACCTGCAGCCATAAGCAACTGCCCTTTATTGATGGACATGGCAAAGGCAAGATGCGCTGGAAACTGCAGTCTTATGAATTCGAAAGGCATGTCAGCAAGAAAAACTTGATCAAATGCATATTACGTACTATCTTCTGTAGTGATCGAGCAATGAATTACCCAGGGGTGCTGCAATGCAGGTGGCCGGGAGGGGAGCGTTGTATGGCATAAGAGGACGGAAAGAAAGCAGGGGACGGCAGGGAATCGAATCCAGGCCTTCTGCTCGCCGAACCGGTGTGATACCACTGCACCACCGAATCCAGGAGTCAGTGTTTCTTCTCAGTGCCAGCCCAGAGACTACAGCCATCTCATGTCGTGGCATTTACTTACTGCGACATTTAAAGGGTCAGGGTAGAGGTTCCATAAACCTTGCCAGGAATGAATGTGAATATGTCCGTGCAATGAATGTCTGTTTGTTGTCTGTATACAGACTTTACATAAATAAACAGGAAGTAAGAAATCATGAGGCATCAGATCGTACTGACCACATTCATTTTCAGGAATGTCATTTTTTCGTTGGACATGGCACTTTAGACTCAGTCTGTGAAGTAATTTGAATCCAGATGAAAGGGGAGGTTTGAATTGCATTTCCAATTACATTTCATTACAATTCTTCTGTGTTTACTTTATATTATTATGTTTTTTAAATCACTAAAATAAAATGAACACAGAAGCGATGAAACGTCAAGCGATGGAAGGCTTCAGGCGTGAGAAATATCGCCATCGCCGTCACTTGTGCCGATTTTTAGGATTCGCAGATTCGAGGGATTCTTCGTGATCGGGATGACGTGGCGATGCAGTCAAGGACGTCCGAAAAATGAAGATTTTGGTCACTCTTGGCTGCAGTTTCGCAACAAAAAATTCAGCAAAACGTCACATGAAAATTCATTTTCCCTGTACGTTTCCACATTGAGCTGCGATCAAAGGAAACACCCCATTGCAACACAATAAAAATTGTAACTGAAGTGTTACATACATACATATGTTATACAGAATAAATTCTGAAAACTGATGTTTTTGAAGACACAATTGTCCCAGGTTACTCCAAGTTTGCCTTACATTATTATGTAAGCGGTTCTTAGGATACATAATGATTAACCGATTTCGGATTATTTCGGAGATCAGAAGAGCTTTATCTCATTCCATACGCTGGGATTTTTTTTTCTCTTCTTGCCTGGTGTGGTCTATATAGCGCATTGTTTCCATGCGTGCGATTATGCGATATTTTTGGTTCCATGTCCATTTTGTCAATTGTACATTCCATTCCATTGTACATACCGCCAAGTCCGTGTCGTGTGCAAGTCATGGGATGCCATAGACTTCATTGACACTTTGGCATGAGAAGGGAAAGGTTTCGCGACCTTTGCTAGGAATGACTGTCCCGGAAAATATATGATATCCGAATATTTATGGTTCAGGCAGAAACAAACACATTAATAACGCCGTTCAAGGCTTCATCTGTCAATGATAACTTCCCGTCAGTGTTCCCTTCCCATAATATTTTTTTTTTCCTGGACCAAATACCGGAAATGGTAGGGATTAACCGTACAAAGAGATTACGTAGATTATGTAGAACATTGAACCTTTGGGGAAAAAAAAAATCTATCGTTTGATTTCACACTTTTATCCACCGGGTGCAAGCGATGGTCCTTCCCATGCTGGAAAATCATTCATTTTGTCGAATCCGTGGGGCTGATGAAGAACGGAATGACGCTGATGAATATCTTCCCTCGTGGACAACTGCTCTCGGGCATTCGCTGTCTTCGAGGTAATCTGTGATTTTTTAATTTACAAATCTCCACGGAAACGATATATTTTCTTTGTCGGTTTCTAAGAGTAACAACACACAACGTAGTCCGAGGTCAATATCAGCTTTACATCTCGGAGCACAAGGGCGAAATAGACCTCTCCCAACAACAAGCGAGGAAAAGCCAAAGGTTAGTGGAGGAAACGCCGAGCCTTGTGACATGAAGGGTTATACGCATTCTATTTGAATCGCGTATGGGGCGTATCAATCTTCTGACATGGTCCTTGTGAGAGTGGTGTTCCTCTCTCCCGAAGCATACGAAATCAGTTACTCAGTTTGATATACGGAGCCTTTGATCTCAGAGAATGTTTATATTCACTTCATGGGTTCTTTTTTTTTTGGGGGGGGGGGGGGGGGGCATTCCTTCCACATTTGCTAATTTTGTTTCTGGTATTCGTTTCTCAGATGGATGGATAATCGCTGATGCAAGGATATGGATATGGATTATCCATAAATTCATCGACATATCGTCTGGTGTGGATTTTGTTATATATTTAAAAGTTTGGGATGCGATGGGTCACGAAGAAACAAATATCAAGATGGAGATATGAAAATCATGAGAAAAAGCATACTGTATTCTTGCATGCCAGAAAATACATCGAAATGGAGAACTGGTAGTTCTGTTAAAGTTTGGGATGCGATGGGTCACGAAGAAACAAATATCAAGATGGAGATATGAAAATCATGAGAAAAAGCATACTGTATTCTTGCATGCCAGAAAATACATCGAAATGGAGAACTGGTAGTTCTGTTCACGAAAGTCAACTATACTCACGAAAGTGAAGTGCAAATGCTTTCGAACTTGCCCAGAACAATAGCTCAATCCCACACTACAGTCGCACCAGTAGATGAGGCATTGATATATCACTTTTAGTAGGGGTGTCGGTTCGTTTTAAGCATAATTCCAAGAGATTGCCGAGAGAGGAACGAATCACAGCTGAAGCACCAGATTTGGAGAAAAAGGGAGGAGCTGTCCCAGCGGGATCCCCGTATTCAGGCGACGTACGTGTACAATTCCCTGCAGACCAGAAAATACAGACGTAAAGCGTCGTGAAAGCCAGAGAGATCGAGCATCATTGAGGAAGATGAAGCAGGAGAGGAAATTTTATTAAGCAGGATGAAGCGGACCTGTCATCGTTCCTTCGATCCAGATATTCCCGTTCGATGAGTCCCTTGATCCTCTTCTCCAGCACGACGGGACTCGGAAGAAGGCGGCCTTTCAGTCGCTCAGGAACCTCCGTCGTGAGGGGGTTGTGCTGTGCAAAACCAAAACAAAAGGCATTTAGCAGAAAATTTGTTTCAAACGGTGTAACTAAACTAACTCAAACTCCAATCTTGAAGTTTGGGCGTGAATATTCAAGGAGTAAATACATTATGCTTAGATATGTAATTGTGTACCATCCGCAGATGGTTAAACATTTGCTGCAACATGGAACTTCAGGATAAAATGAAATCAAAATTAAAATGAAAAAAAATAACTTTCCTTACACTTGTAGTTTGCAGCCTGAATTTTGTGATGATTGAGGATACCAATTTCTCGAAAACTTGCACATCATGACATATTCATATACATGCACTGACTTTCAGGTAATGGTATTTTGAGCCCCATATCTTTCTTCGAGATTTGCTTTAAACTTATGGAATATTCCTGCATTTACCGGCGGTCTCTTGCATGACTTCGTGATGCATATATTCGCATCCTCTATTTCCTGCTTCTCGTCCTCGTCCGCCTGGGAATGGGTCTCAATCTTACGCTCTGATCTCCCCTTCGTGGTATGAATCTTCACTCTGGAAGATACATTTTACCGTCTCTAAAGTCGAGACAAGAACTGCAAGATCTGATCAGAAGGAAAGCAAGCGAGACCGGTAGAGCTTGGAGGTGAAGGATTCATTGATGGCAAAAACGTCATTTGGCTCGATGTCTCCTGTCTCGGGGTTCTTGATCAGTATCCTCTGCGCCGCCTTCCCTAGTGCCAGGGATTGGAGGGCTCGGATCAAGTCTCTCTCTGGGATGTGTGTCTCAGTTGCTATCTCCTGTCAAGCATTGCCCTGATTTAAACTATTTTGATCTCAATAACAGATTTTATGCAATACAATTTGTATTTTTTTTCTGGTTGAGATAGCAAATTTTGACTTTCCGGCATCATTTCTTTCTTATCGGTGGAGCAAGGATGACACTAAAGATGAAAGGAGTGATGGGAAAAGGGAGGGGTAAGCGGAGACATACCGAATAAGAGATTCGAGATCGATCATTGAAGAGCATCAAGATACACATCTGGAACGTCGACACATGGATCACGTGATGCCTCGCCCCCCCCGCCTCGCCCCCCCACGCCCCGACCGATCCACCGTCGGGCCTAGCGGACGAGAATGCGGAACCGGGAGACGGGCGTCGACTGTCGAGACGGGCAAAGCTGGACCCTCCATCCCCGGCCTCACCGTCCTCACGTCTCGGCTCGTAAAACGTGGCCTTGAGGTTTGCCGATCCTAGCTGGGGCTGCAGCGTGAGCTTTCGTCCAGAATGCAGTGACAGGTAGAATCTGGACGGAAATCATGAAAATATATATAGCACATCACTTTCATGTAGTAATTTGCTAATACTGGAACGAAGAACATTGCCTGATTTTCTTCGAAGGATTACTTGGAAAAAGCCTTACCCACTTAGGAGTCTGAGCCATAATAAGCGCTTTACTGTCCTAACAAGAATCTATTTTTTTTTTGTTTTCGCGCTACAACAGACGGCAGTCTAAAAATTCCAGAAATGTAACTGATTTTACTTGTGAAACTTCTTTCACCTGAAAATTGACATGTTAAATGAAAAATGCATATGTTGCCCTGAAAAACACATTTTGAATACACCCATGACTTAGACTACTGGAAAAACTTCAGCGAGATACTTTTAAACATAATATACATATTTATGAAAATGTCACAACTTGTATGCAAAGAATACACAAGGAAACACACAAAGGCAACATTAAATCTGTTCTGCTCTCACAACACAATCCTTTTCTGCCATTGCAGCGAAGTCAGCTGCACTTTCGACTGCCGTAACGATCAATCGTATCGATCGGGAAGTAGGTTACGTTACGTTACGTTACGTTACGTTATGTTTCATCTCCCGAATCGCTCCAATGTGTTGAACAAGTCTCTGGGACCTGGCGCTTGGCCTTTGCGCGACTGTCCTGTTTTGCTCTGTTGACGTAGACCTTTGACTTGCGGGCCATCACCATGAGTGAGGTATAATGAACCACGAATCTCCATGAAGCGATAAACATGATATGCAAAAGAACGAGCCCCCTTGCTCTTATATAACTTACACGCGTCTGAAGTGTTTTTTAGATGATGCACTCGTCGCATAGTGAAAGGTTCATGAAAAAATATGATTTTTTCACTTGAAAATGAATTTTTATAAAGTGATGTAGCAGTAAAGAACAAATCATGAAATTCATTCTGACATCGATTTATGAATTCCATTCCATCAATAATTTCGCAAAGCTGTCATGATTTCAGAAGGAAATCATGGTTGTCGCATTTCTAAAATGCTTGCATACAAATTTTCGAGCTGTTTAATTTCATGAATTTCCAGTTAGCAAATGCCGACGTTCTTGCGTTTTAGCGGCAATCCGGGCTATTACTTCTCTGGGACGGAAAGAAAGATGGTCATACCGCGTTTTCTCGAAACCCTGATTACTTCACGTACTTTAACAGATCCGATTCGAAGGCTTGAGACTTTGGAGGTATGATGCTTTTAATTTAAAGCGAGATTTCATGCAATTTTGAGTGGCGAAGCACCGACCGAATGTGGAGCGGATTTGGAAAAATCGGTTAATGAAATAAAAATAAAAATAAAGAACAACCGTCGTTGCCCTCGACGCACCTGCGGAAGGCCTCGAAGGCGGCGAGGGCCTCGACGGGGACGGCGCACTCGGGGGCGACGGGCCTCGCGGGCCAGATCCCCGCCGTCAGCACCCGCACGGTCAGGTCCAATCCCGGCTGATTCTCCTGCAACGGACGAAACGCTCGCAATCCTCCATTGTGAGCAGGTCTCTTGCGAGCAGGTCGGATGCACTCACCCCGGTCGAGGCGATGCGGTGCTTCAGCTCAGTCGCGATCGCGTTCGAGACCGCGATGTCCTTCAGCATCCCCTCCAGCTTCGCGGTGTACTGACTCCCGCATTCGGCCTGATAAAAAAAAAACTTTTCAGCCGCGTTGACTCGAATATACAGGGTGGAGCATGATTGCCTGGGCGAAGCAATATTGCAATATTAAATACTGGGAATTGGTTGTATGTAAGAGTAAGAAAAATTACTATTGGCAGTGAAATGTTCTATTGCAGGTAAATTATACATTTTGATAAAACGCCGAATTGATTTGGATAAAACTCTGATTTGGATAAAAATTGAATTTTGATAAAACGCTCAAGTTAAAATAACTGTTCGAATGATTTTAATTCTGCCTCAGTTACATGCATGCATCAGGAAATTGTGCCGAAAGGACACACCTTGAGCCTCGAGATCATGCTCCCCTCGATTTCCTCCGAGACCGACTCGAGGAGCAGCCGCTTGGCGAGGTGCCGCTCGTAGCACCGCTGGAACGCTTCCTTCTCCGGCAGGAGCCGGAACAGGGCCGTGGCTTCGTCGAGCGCGGCCTCGATCTCCGGTTCCGTCATCTGGAGGATTCGACACATTCATCGTAATAAATAACTAATATATAAATATATTTAAAATACATGATGCCGACAAATCACTGGAGTCGCTTCGCTCATAATTTTCCGTGCGAGTTTCGAACCGACAATATTTCTTCCCGTTACTGAATAGGAACGAGCCGAATGAATTTGAAACATTTCTTTGCGAAAGAGGAATTCTTGGAATTGTGACCTGAGGGAGATACGGACCTAATTTTTTTCCTCAGAATCTGCTGGAATACAATTTGTAGGTAATTTTTTTCTTGAACAATAATAATTATTTAAAGCAAATTAAATAAATAAATATACGCAAATAAATAACTTCATCATAATATTAGTGCCGTGAGATGTTCATCAGAGATCCTAAAGAGATGATAAGCCTCTAACCAAAGCTGGGCTTATGGGGAACCAGAGGTGGGCTTATGGGGAACCAGAGGTGGGCTTATGGGTAACCAGAGGTGGGCTCTACATTGGACCGAATCTACGACGCCGTCAGACGAGCAGATTACGAACCTGGCATTGAAACCACTAAACCACCGAAGGAACGAGTTTGGTAGGTCCGTTTTTGAATGCGAGATCGCCATCCACACGAGCCCCTTCCCAAGATCTACAATGGGACAATTGCCCCTTTTCCGACTGACTCGACTTCCCAGATTTGGACTGAGGTAGCAATTTCATATCCGACATTTATTTTTGAGTTCATGTAGGAAGTGGTATGTGTAAATCGACCCACGACGTATTTCAATATATAAAGCAAATTAATTTTCAAGAAGTTTAATCAATTAATAATAGTACAAAAATGAACATGGACTGGGGATAAAGTGTTGAAACATCGCAACTGCAAGGCGTCCTCGACTCACCCCTTCCTCTCCTCTCTTCATCGCGTGATCGATGAAGAGGGAGAGCCGTTCGGCGGAGCGCGGATCGAGGGCGAGGAGCCGCTGGAACTCGCGGGCGATCGCCTCCTCCACGAAGCGGTCGTAGCGGAAGGAGGAGCAAAGGAGGTCGTCCAGCTGCTTCTTCAGGTCCAGGAGGCTCTGCAAATTACCAAATTACCCTTCAAAGGAAATTGCCTGAACAGGTCTGGATACTGATTTCTCTCAAATTACCAAATTATCCTTCAAAGGAAATCGTATGATCAGGTCTGGATATTGATTTTTCCTAAATTGTCATTTTTACTCTGAGAAAATTATATGAGAAGGCTTGAAAAGTGATATCCAAATATCAAAACTGAATCAGATGAGGTCCATCCTGATCCACTTCCATTTGGAGACCAGGCGCACAAAATCTTTCTTTATCTTCCAAAACGCCCTGAGGTATATGCAGCTATAACGAACAAATGTTGTAATGAATAATATTGCATGTAACTTAGGGAAGTTCGTCGCATCTGATATCTCCAACTTATCAGTAGTACTCTCTCATTTCTCTTAAAAGCAAATGGATGTTAGATGCACGTTTCAAAACTCCTCATGGATATTGTGAGTTCTTGCCAATGCCGCAGCCTGAAGCCGCGCTTGCTATGTCTCTTAAGGCATAGACATATGTATTTATGAATAAAAACGAAACAGGTGGGACATTTTTCGTGGGACATATTTACATTTCGCGGTGATCAAGGTTTGAAGCCCGTCTCATCCAGGAACAAGATTTTGCAAATTAACCCAAGGTTCTGCACAAAACAAATCTAGCGAGGAGAGAGGTGGATAAAGAAACACTATATAAATAATGATTTCAAATTACCTTGAAGACATTCCTTTTCAAAATTTCACTTTTCAAGCATTGAATCCACTTTCTACTTCATTTCTTCTTTCGCATGTGATTGCACCGGCACAACCCAATCCTTACATTCGGAAATTTTCTGTAAGTTATGTTCCATATAAAACCCGATTATTAGGAAATTTTCGGTAATTTATGTTTGACATGTAACCCGATCCTGATGCTCGAACTAATTTCCCCTGCCGACCTGGACGTGCGAGACGGGCCCCTCCGCCTCCGCAGCGAGGGCCCTCCCCCGCTCACGAAGGTACGCGGAGACGCACTTCGCCGTGATGTTGCTCCCTTCCGGCACGCTCGAGTGGAGGTCGTACCTCGAGCGGAGCTCCTCCGCGCTCCCGTCCCGCAGCATGCGGGCGATCTCGGGGCTCTCCCGCTGCAAGGGAGGGAACGAGGACGGCTGAGACTCTTCGGTGCAATCGTTGCAGAATAAATGCAGTTCGTCGAGTTTTAAAACATAATTTGAAGTACGATTTTAAATATTACTTGAAATGATTTCAAATGTGATTTTAAATCTAATTTGATATATCATTAAAACATCATTTGAAAAATCTGTCTTTTATTTATTTGATTTATTGCAACATATGATACATTGGACACTACTGAACTGTCCGTGTCTTCATTGTCCCTTTAAAGAATGAAGAATGTCTATGGTGATAGGCCTATGCTGCATCTTCTTAACATGTTACTGTAGAATGTACAGTAAAACCAAGTTACATCCTCACAAGTCTCATTTTGCATTTATGGATGACTCGATTTTTTTTTCAAATTTGGTATCTAATGCGCGTTCAAACGAGCCGATAGTCCTTCCTGCTGCCGATGCATTTAGACATACCAAGGAAAGAAGTACCACAATTAAATAAGTCGATGGAACCGATCCAAATCGCGCAGCCCGTTCGGCGAGTAATGAATTACTCATTAATAATGAGTCACTAATTATTGGAATGACGATGCCTAAAGAACCTATGCGTTCGCTATGCGTCAAGTTCGAATTGCTGCCCGCGTTGGCCTTTTCCTCGTGGTCTGTCCCTCGTTTCACACTCGTCGGTCTCCTTGCATTAAACCGGGCGGGAAAATGGTTTGAAAAAAACGAAAAATGAGAAATCAAGAATCACTTCGATTTTACGGTTAAAACAACTGCATCGAAATCCATCAAATATGGGTTTTAAAAATATTAATCATTCGGGAAAATGGATACATATTGATAACTACTTAAAATAATTACGGTTGCTGAAAAGGAGAAACATTTTAAAGGAGCCCAAGGGGCTCATCTCCTTCCACTTTTGTTGAAATCACTCACGCCTTTGAGTGATCATTCGAGTGATCATTCGAGTGATCATTCGAGAGATCACTCGAGTGATCCCTGACTTTTGTCGAGATCAATTGCATCGTTCGCTGCTTGCTTCCGAATTGCTTGACTAGTTCCGCTTTCCGAATCTGAATGAACAATTCTCTTCGAGTTGAGAATATTACGCAGAAATTCGTTTCGCCGCGGAATTGGAGGGAATTCTGCCGGTCGTTTCGACATGAGATGCAAGAGAAATGAAGATAATTTCTCCTAATTTCCCACTCAATCTTGAAATCATTCAAAAGAATACAATACCGGGAGAGTGGTCGGGAATCGTTCGGTTTCGATCGAGGTGATTATGGGCGTTGAGCAAGGGATTTTCATAAAATCCTTGCATTATAAGATGAATTTGAGTGTACCCTATCCCGCTACGGCAGGGTTTTAATGTACCTTGAAGACGAAAAACACGCCAAGGAGTGCTTTTCATCAATGGGCAACAGACATACTGCGACGATGGCGTCCATGTTGCTCCGAATGAGGGCGTCCGTCATGGCGCGGCGGAGGGCGCGCTTCCCCACGCCGTAGCGCGAGGCTCTCCGTGCCTCCCTCTCCGTCCAGGCTCGCACGTGCCGAATGAACGGCTGGATGTCGGAGGCGGTGCTCTCGAGGGGAGGCTTCTGGTTCTCCTCCTGGTTCATATGGACGATATTAGCGCCAGAATTTTAAAAACCTGAATTAGTTAATTTCTTAAAGTAGATTCTTATGGGAAAATAAATTCTATTTTGCTTGAAGGCCCCCTTTTACTCCCTAAATGAGGTTAATGCATTCGGGCCTTAGATTCGATAACGACGGGGAACCGATGACGTATGGCTCAGTGCCACATCCTCACAATGAAATCTATGGAATAACAAATTTTGAGACCTCGCATACGCTAAATAGCTCACAAAACCCAAATCGAGAGATTTCCAAACAGACCTCCACAATGGTCTCCATGTGATCGCAAATGGATTCGTCCTGCACCTCCTGGATGACCGCGTCTTTCGCGTAGTGCGACGCTCCCTCCTTCTCTCCGTTCGTCCGACTCCCCTCCTCGCGGACAGACGACCCCCCTTCCAGGAAATTCCGACTCTTCACCTGACCGTAAAAAAGAGACTACTGATTTTGTTCTGCGTCGAGCGGCGAAGCAGGAAGAATATCTCACTCGGTAGAACTCCACCGCCTGCTGAAGAAACGGCTCCTCGAAGACTTTTTTGTAGATGTCGCCACCGAGCATGGCGAGCATGGTCGTGATGTCGCGGATCATCGACCGGTCGACCGTCTCGCCCTTTCGCTCCCTCGTCACCATGTCCGACAGGGCTTCCTTCAGCTGCTCCTTGATCTCCCCGTATTTAATTACCTATTTAAAAAATATATATATATATTTAGTAGAAATTACAATAATTTATATTAAATAATATTCCAGGCTCTAAAACCGACATGGTCCCTGAAGAGGGCCAGGCCCAGGCCGTAGACGTCCTCCACCCCGTTCTGCGGCACGTAGACCCGGTCCAGGTACCCCAGGATGTCGCTTATGATCGTCAGGGAGATCTTGTGGTCCGTCCAGGCCAGGACGAGCGTCTGGAGGAGGTCGCTCGGCGGCGACTCCAGCAGATCCTCGCGGACCTTTCGGTGACAGAATTTTTTTTTTTTCTGCGTTGCATTTTGACAAAAATTCGGACTTGATTATCGTTGCTCAAATTTTCATAAGCAACCTTCCTATAGATTTATGACATAATTAGCTAATTAATTAATTAATTCATGCAGTCTGAAGCGGGGCTCCAAATTCATTTCGCCCCGAAAACCTTCCAAATGCAAGAACAATACGAGCAACGGCATGAGGGAGCATTTAAATATTGAAAGTCGGAAGGCATCACGGAAAATACGCGGAAACGTTACGAAAAATCTCTCTCGGAAAAACCGTGTCAGATGCGAAAAAAAAGATGGATTCGCTCCCAACATATTCACGAGCAAAGGATTTCATTTGAGGGGGGAAAGCGTTTCGCAGAAATTATTACAGTCGATAGATCTGGTCGAGCGACGACCCAGTTCGGCGAATGGCAGGATTTAAGCGAGTGGGCTCGTTTCGCTGGAAATCGTTCCTCAAGCAGCCGAAGTCGGCCGTTGTCGGCCGAAGTCGGCCGAAGGTGGGATCTGACGCCTTCGAGATGTCAGATTGAGTGAGGACCGGCCAATGGGTGGACTGCTGCCATCCGACCAAATGAATCAACTACGTAACGAGAGAAGCCCTAGGTACGAATGCGACCGCGCGCGTTCAAAGAGCCACCACGATCCTTTTCCAGAACGATCGAGGCTATCGAATGCGATCCGAAGAAATTTTGCTGGAAAAAATGCCAATCGGCACGAAGTCTGGAGGAAGCCGACCCACCTCCTCCTCGAGGTGCCTCGCGACCACCCTCCTCAGCCCGGCGTAGAGCCTCCTCCCCTGCTTGTCGAGGACCATGGCCCGCACCGCGCGCTGGAGGTCCTCGGAGCTCAGCCCGTAGCAGTCCTTCCGCAGGATCTTCTCCAGCGCGCTCTTCAGCGACTGCCAGAGCGCGTCCGTGTGGCGGTCGTCCGCCGTCGTCTGCGAAAGTCCGAAACGGTCGCTGAGTTTTCCAATATTTTTTTTTTCGCAGCCTTTGAGATTTCTTTCAGGAAATTACTTTCCGATATGTTTCCGTAACTTGCCTGCATTAGGTTACTTACGCATTACTTTACTCATACCTGCGTAAATCACAATTTTAAACTTCATCGTATGGCATCACTGGTTTCCACGTGTGGTGGACACCATTTGAAGCCCTCAAAAAATATCAGTAAAAAAGAAATATTTACATTATAAGAAATATTGGACATTTAAAAAATGGATGGGGCTGAACATAGAGCCAGTGAAAAGTTGGAAATAAAATGGTAAATAAAAACAAAATAGTAATAAAAAAACAGTAATTGACAATTATGATGTTTTTCACCGTAATAAAGTTGAATTTTGGAATTGGTATTTATTTATCAGAATTTTTCGATGAGAAGAACTTTCTTCGAATTTTCGAGAGTGCTTCACGAACTCGAAACCGGTTTGCAGCAATTTTTGGGCCTCGTTTTTCGATCGTGAAATTTGGAGGGGAAAAAAAAAACGATTCCTGGTTTTTCTTTCATAGTTTTTTTTTGGGATTCGTTGGAGAAGGATCATCCGAGATCCGATAATAATAATAACAATAACAATAAATGAATAAACACAAGAATGAAGTAAAAATGAAAAAAATTGCACGAAAAGGAAAAATAAAGATGCACAAATATTTTAAAATGAAAACAAAAACAAAAACAAAAAACGAGACAAAACTCACGGAAGGTCGACGGGACGACACGATCCTCATGTCGACGGTCTCCTTGACCTTGACCTTGAGGTCGAGGCGGTCTGGCACTTCCTGCGGCACGACGAAGTCGCGGGTGGGCCAAATATTCATTCACACGACTTCACGCGACTTCACACGACATTCAAGGGATTCTATGAACACCCGGACAGGTGAGCCGAGAAAATCCTGCGAAATTTATAGGTTCTCCCGCCCAACTCCTATATACTCTTTTTTTTTGAGGATTTAAATTCGAAACTGCAGTCTGCGAGGACCTTGCACCGTTCTTCGCGATCGGGGTTAATCAAGCAATCTCCTCGGTTGCCCGTTAGAGAAAGTGTCCGCGTTTGGATGGGCGCCAGATGTCTCTCGGGTCGCTCGTGACGCTCGCCGATGTTTCCACGGTTTTCGGCGTTTCGGAATCAACCGGAATGCTTGCCTGCCTGTTAACTCTACTATTGTCATTTCTGCAGTTCCTATTTCTGGCAGCAGTCGACTTGCACACGAAATTGAAGGCATGGAAGCATGCGATGCAAGCTGCTGCACGACCCGTACCCTTCAAATGAGAATCCTGCTTCTATACCATGGATGGCGAAGAGCGCGACGCGAAAAGACGTGGCTGCGTATGCGGAGAGGGGGCGTGGATGGGGAGTTGCCTCTAAAGCGAAAGGGGGGAATTACTCAGAGCATCTTTGGTTTTGCCAGTACATGAGAGTCAAGCTTTGTGCGACGAATCTCATCTTTTGCGACGAATCTCGTCTTTTGCGACGAATCTCGTCTTTTGCGACGAATCTCGTCTTTTGCGACGAATCTCGTCTTTTGCGACGAATCTCGTCTTTTGCGACGAATCTCGTCTTTTGCGACGAATCTCGTCTTTTGCGACGAATCTCGTCTTTTGCGACGAATCTCGTCTTTTGCGACGAATCTCGTCTTTTGCGACGAATCTCGTCTTTTGCGACGAATCTCGTCTTTTGCGACGAATCTCGTCTCTTTTCCGACGAAACCTCGTCCTTAACCGAAAGCTGCATTACCCTTTCGCAACAACAACATGATAGATGAGATTCTCATTCGACTGTCTCCACATCACACGATCGACACGAACGGCACTAAAGAAAATTTGAGATATGCGGACAGATACATCCTAGTGTTGTTGCACCGAAATCGTAGTGTCGTTGCTTCTCGTCGCAGATGCCTTTAACGCGAAATCGACCCTCGACCAGGCCATACTCGAAGGACCTGAAGCAAAGGACGCCGAACGAGGCGATCCTCAAGGCATCACGCGAGCCCCACTCGAAAAAGCCGCTGGCCGTGCTACCATCCCGCTCAATTCCCTCTCGCTCAATTCCCTCTCGCTCAATTCACTCTCGGTCAATTCACTCTCGCTCAATTCACTCTCGCTCAATTCACTCTCGCTCAATTCCCTCTCGCTCAATTCACTCTCGCTCAATTCACTCTCGCTCAATTCACTCTCGCTCAATTCACTCTCGCTCAATTCACTCTCGCTCAATTCACTCTCGCTCAATTCACTCTCGCTCAATTCACTCGGTCAAATCGGGTTGGCGAAGGAGACAGAACAGCTGGAGGGCAACTCTCGCCAGCCTTTAATCCCTTTAATCCCTTTAATCCTTTAATCCTTTAATCGCTCCGTAACGATGCTGTAAAAGCAGTCTATCCTCTTCTCTCCACCTTCCGGTTGCGTTATGTAAAGAGTGTAAAGGACGAAGGAGGACGCAGTGACCTTAACGCGATCCATTTTTCCCAAAAGGCCGCCTGGGGACGGGGGAGACTCTATCAGATTCTGAGGAAAAGGTAAGAGGCCGATGCGTATGCCGCAACGAGAGCCCGTAGTCCGGAGATAGGCATATGGATGGGAAAAAAAAAAGCGAGGAACGAACGTTCCTCGTTCTTCCCACAACTCGTAGGAGCGTGGAGGGAGAATATTTTTTTTTTTTTTGTTGCCAGCCCCTGTCGCCCCGGGGCATCTTTGCCTTGGTCGCACGGAAAGATATGCCATCGCTCTCCTCATTTTCCCGATCGTGTCGATTCTCCCAAATCTGCTGTGACTGGTGACCTGACGGTGACGGGTGACCTGACGGTGACGGGTGACCTGACGGTGACGGGCGAAATCCACTGTCATGTGGATAAGCAGCCATCATCAGGCATCAGAGATTAGCGCCATAACCCCCGGTAGTTATGACTGCGAGCGACTGTTATGGTCATTATGACTGCGAGCCGGTTTGTAAAGCACTTTGCTCGTTTGGAAACAAAAGGCCTCCGCAGTTTTTACTTTTCCTGTCTAATGCTGTCATTTTGAAAAGGTGAACATTTTGAACGTACCAGCTCCAACATTTGGGACGAATAAAAAAATAAAATGCTACAGAATAATAGATTGATCCTACTTTGAATGCAGCGGTCAAATTGACCGCACTTATCGTTTTAGGGTTAGAAAAAAAGCCAAAAGAGAATGGTTCGTAACATATACTCTAGTTCCTCTAACGAACCAGTATGTCATAGAATACGACAAAAAGTGATTCAAGTTACAGCTACGCCCCATCCTCACCATAGGAATCAGAAAGAGAGGAACGTGGACCTTCCACGAGCAGACGGTAATTCGACGGTAATTCGACGGTAATTCGAAAAAGAAAACACTATAGAGAGCAACCACGACCAAGAAGGAACTCTAAGCCTAAGACCCAACACGAGATACATACGACGGCGTTGAAATTCCTGCGTGAAACGAAGTCGAGCGGCAGGCGAGCGTCTCGGCCGGTGGCGATCTTGGCACTCCACCAAGTCAGGCGCGCACTCCCCAAAGTCAGGCGCGCACTCCCCCGCGGGAAGGAAGACCCCTGAGCGCCAGACTCTCCCGTCCGCGCCGCGCTCCGGTCGGACAGCGAATCCCCTCCCCTCGGACCGAGTCGAGCCTTCGAGGGGGGCACGGGGCGCGTGGGAGGCTGCTTTCGATTGGAGGTCGCGGGCGAGCGGGGACGGGAGGGGAGGTCGTCGAGCATTGTTGAGCATGAAATGGGACCTTGTGAGCATGAAAAGAGGAAACCACGTGAAGCCTTCAATGATTGTAAGCGTGAAAGTTGGCAGGAATGTTTTTTCTTCCGTATTTCCTGCACCCGGGAAGGAAAAGTCAAGGGAGTTCCAGAAACGAATGACCACTTTGCCGACCCAAACAATTTTGGAGACGCTAACGTCTAACGTCTGACGCTAACGTCTGACGCTAACGTCTGACGCTAACGTCTGACGCTAACGTCTGACGCTAACGTCTGACGCTAACGTCTGACGCTAACGTCTGACGCTAACGTCTACACAGCGGAGGTAAATATAACTAGGCCGAACGAGGCAGTAATGGCCGTCGGCCATTACGAGAGGATGAGGCACCGCATTCGCCAAGGCGCAGTGCAATCATTCCCAGGATGTTTTGAGGATTCGGATGCTCCGAAAGCCCGTTGGCTGGGTCGGGTTTCGCCTTTCACACTGATGAATCGGGCTCGGTCGAGCCGTTTAGAGCGGTTTATCATTAGGCGTGACGGATTCTTCGTTGCCCCATGTCAATTCCGGGCCTAACTGCATGGGAAACTACTGTGGCAGACTCACGTTTCCAAGTGCAATGAAAACTAATACTGGGATTCTGCTCCTCAAAGATGGAAGAAGAATTAATGAAATTTCAAAGAACTATGCTCTCTCCGAGAAGATAGGGTAGGAATAGGCCTGGCCTGTCTTCAATGTGTTGTCCCTGCTTTAACGATTTCTTTTATTGCATTCCACTTTTTTCCAATACAGGATTGAATGAAGCCTCCACTGCAATGGTGAACGTCGAAGCACATCGGGGATTGTGACGCCACGAACCGAAAAGCCATGCGTTTATTGGGAGCATTTGACGGCATGCGAGATGGCAGCCGATCTTTCGGGATTGTAGCGCCTTTCCCATTGACGCGTCCAGTCCAGTTATATTTGCCATGTTTCTGCGGCAGATTATTTACAGATGAGCTATGCACACTAACACCATCTCCAGTGCCGTTTTGGAGAAGCATGGCTAAGAGCCAGGTGACAACTGGAAGGTCGTAAATGAAGAAGCCCTTAACTTAAAACGTTCCCGTCAACTTTGCCTTTCGTCATTGGCGAAAGAAAAATGCGCTGAAAAAAGTGGCAGAAACTCCCTCTGCCTCGCACGGAACGGAGACGATAAGCGCGCGCACGGCACGTCGACCGTTACATGCAGACTGCACGTAGGCACTTCCCTTTCCCTTGAAGTGCGGGGAGAGACCTCCGCGGGGACGATCTTTTTGGGGTCCGACTCGGCCCGCGGGACTCGGACGGTCGATGGCCGCGGGCGACACCGCGGGTTCCGACGCGGCGCGCACTTCTAAGGGTGGATGGTCGTGCGGACATCACAAGGTGACGAGTAGACGCAGGGACGCTGGGGACCTCCTTGATCGGGTGGATATGGAAAATTTTCACCCTTGAGCGTAACTGTACTTCCAATATCATATTGTTTTCATCTGGTAACTGTTCCATTGTGCACCGAGCCGAGAAGAACATTTATTTGCAGAAAAAGCGTTCTACTGTAGATCTCGTTTCCGCGTTACTCAAGGAAAATAATTTCTTGTGGGTGTTCAACGATAAGTCTCTCCAGAAACAGCTAATTTTCCGCCATCTCCTCATTTGCAGATGTGAGGAAGAGGTCGTGGAAGATGAGAAAATCCAAGGAGTTCGAGCATGAAAAATCATCGAATATTCCCTATATTCCCTTCCCTTAAGCGATCGATCACGTGCGTTCTGATGTCCTTTGAATCTTTTATTCGTTCGAGTCTTTATTCCCAGCAATTCGTTTTGCTCAAAAAAAGACTCAGACTAGGTTGTTTCAACCAGGATTCCCATAGTCGGTACTTTGGGTGAAACATTACAATATGAAAACTAACAAGCTCAATCTTTAAAAAAAAAATACACAAACGAGAATATTGAATTCAGCAGCATGAGTTGAGAATATTGAATTCAGCATCATTGGAAAGAACGTAGCGAGAACTTTTATTACACATCAGATTCAAGTTTTGATCGCGTTTGAAACACGATGCACAAGCCGCCAAAGTGAGTGAAAATAGGCAAAATCGGACCTTTCAAATTATTTTATGTTGTTTCCAACGACGTAGGAAGCTGATATTTCGTTGCAAACAAAGTTGCAAAAACTAGTTGTGCTGACATGCATACTAATGCTCAAAAGTTTCATTCGAAATCCGGCAATATTTGCATTTTTTGTATTTTGTATTTTGTATTTTGTATTTTGTATTTTGTATTTTGTATTTTGTATTTAGTAATGGGATCCTGCATTGTCTCCGCTTTAATTAGAGCTAAAATACCCATTTCCAGCTGAACTTGGACCAAAGAGAGCGATTTTATCCCAAAATGTCACTTTCCCCCATGGTGGCTAAGCTTAGGGCTGCATATCTCGAAAATCGCAAGAGCCAGTGATCCAAAATCCGAATTGTTTTCATAAGCCTTCGAACGTCAACATGCCCAAATATTTTCCATTTCACTGCCCGATCCAAGGGCGGATGATCACGCGACCCATCGCATGGCGTCGAGGGGACGCGGGGGCATTCCGGGGACCTTCCTCATCGGGTGAACATGGAAAATGCATCCTTGAACGTAAGTGTACTTCCAATATTATATTGTTTTAAACTGGCAGCAGTTTCATTTTTTACCGAGCCGAGGTGAACATTTATTTCCAGGGAAAACTATCTGGATCTCATTTCCGCATTACCTAAGGAAAATAATTTTTATCGAAGGATATTCAAGGATAAATTATTCCAAAAACAGTTAGTCTTCCGTCTTCATCTTTTTTTGCTGATCTGAATTGTTTTCTGTCATCCTAGTGATGTTATTGCCAATCCTGGTCAGAGCATCCCTTGGATTTAGAAGAGGATACTCAACTTCTCAAATCCGTGTCATAATCTGTATTGTTCTGATGCCGGCGCAAGTTTAATTGTCGCTGACCTGGTCGCCGATGCTCGCTCCCACTCTTACAACTATCCGGTCGCATTGGAATTCGTGTATCGAATAAATATTTCAAGGACTGAAATGGGAATTGGTGATGAGTAAATAAGACACTCATTCAGTGAACAAAGAAAGCCCGTTGTAATTTCTGTCCCACATGACAATAAAATGTGTAATGGGAAGCCAGATGGGATCCCGCGTGTAAATATGCCCAGGTAATAGTAACAGAGAGACCAACAAGTCAGATTGGATGAGTTGAAATGTTCACGTAGGAATATTCTTCTGCATCAAGTCCTGCCGTGTAAGCCTGATCAGCCCAGAGGAGGCAACACGAGGAAAAAATTAAGGGAAGTACTCATCTGGACAAATATAGCATAGGGATGTTCTTCGTCTCTTCCTTCCGACGATCTCCTCATGACATTCTCCTTTCTTCATGGATGTTAATGTGCAATTAGCGGTTGTATTGGTTTCTAACAATCTCGTTGGACCAGCCTTCTCCAGGAAATGAGTGTTATTCTTCACTCAGCTCACCTGATGAACTGAAAATTGAGTCCGGTATTAGTCCTTTAAGGCACGATGCATTTTTTTGGCGAAATAAATCAGGCGGGTTTTAATTAGGTTCTAAAGCACTTGGAAATTAGAAGGGGAAAGTTTCCTCAAATTAGTAGGTGAAAGGCCCGAAATTTGTAATGTTGCATATCGGCTACAAATAATATTTTTAGCTTTCTAACCAACGTTTGCATGGAGGTTAGAGATTCAAATAGGTAATATTCGTACATACCTCAACGCAAATGAAAATGTAAAAATACCGTTGAAATTGGACCGTGGATTAGACTAAAGTCCATTTCTTATTTTCCGAGTTGAAACAGCGACTCTCACTGACCTGCAGATTAATGGTAGAAAATTAACGGTTTCAGCTCAAAATATGTCATGACTCAGTTATTAACTTTTTTCAGCAGTTTCTGGGTATTCGTACCACAAAAAGTGCAGTACGCGGGATCTCAAAACGGTACACTTTGATGGCATAAACTCATAGATGACTCATTATTGAAAATGGATATATAGGACAATTTTCAGAGTGTAAATGCCATCGTTGCCACAACCTTCATTTCTATGAATTCCTAGTTCAACTTTGAAATCAGTTCAATGTTGTGACTGTGAACTCTTTCCATCTTTCATTCTGTACTTAATTGTAGATTTAGCAAAAGCACTTACCACTGGCTCCGTAAGTTTCCCAATGATATCAGTTCTGTGCATTTCTTCCAGAATCTCAATAATATTTTTGTACGTTGGCAGAGGTTTCTTTTTAGCCAGGAGGATGTGGAAAATGCTGTCAATCTTTCTGAAGCCTTTTCTTGAGGACTTTAGATCCCTTTCCTGTGCCTTTGACAGTAGGTTCCTCTCCGCTAACTTATTAAGGAACAGGGTCACGTCCATCTTTGAGATACTGTCGCAGAATATGGCTTTTAAACGGTTCATTGTCTCTCCGTAATCCATGTTTCTCCTCCTGCAAATATAATACATTTATCTCAGCTGAACTTCTATTTTCACTCGTTCCAGTTGACGGTCGTGGAATTATTAAGGGCTGATGTGTGAATAAATGCCAAGACATCTTTTTACAGGCTGATTTCTCTTACACGACTATGTGTCTTTTCAAGCTGATTTCGGTTGTTTTACAACCTCTGTCATTGCAGGTAACACCCACAATTGCTCAATAACATGTGAGCTTTCCTCTTTGCAAGATACCCAAGCAGCACAACTGGTTACGGTTGGGTGTGGTTGGGACGTAACCAATTGACGTTAAAATGCAATGTTGTAATTGGGCCGAAATGAAAGATTTTTCAAAGGCTTCACAATTTTGTCACAAGAGGCTGTGACAATGTTGAATAAGAATAGATGAATGCTGAGGAAATAGCAGAAACGGTAATATAATGCTCATTAATAACGCGTATAATGCTATTTCTTGCATTGGCGCGGTTGTTCAGGTTTTACCTTTTACATCTTCATCAAAGCGTTCGGTCATTTCGTTTATTATTCCTGTCACTTTCATGCAATATTGGAACTGCATGTTCGAGAATAATTTTATTCTCGCTTATTAGACCCAAAGTAAGGCGCCTCATATCTTCTATGATATGTAATGCCTCAGCCAAATTCAGTATTTTCCATTTGGATAGCGGTACCTCAATGAACCACTCTTCCCCAGACAAGAATTGTCTGGTGTTCCCTTACGTTGGGTAACTTCTTGCCATTAACCACGTACATCTACCACCATTTGTGGAAAGAGAGGAAAATGGACTTACCTAAGGAAGCGTCCAACGGAATCCAGTTTGAAGAGGGTATCTTTGTCGATCTGAATGCCTTCCGTGACTTCATGAACCTCAACTAATCCATCCTTCTCCATTATGCGCCACACCTGTTGATGATCTGGTAAGGAATCGATGATGATGAGATTTGTTCGCGCTCTGGATAAGCTGTCCAGGAGCCAACAATCTTCCACATTTACAGCGATTGAGACATAGCATTCACATCCTCTAAAATCTTGGGGATGAAGAAAAAGTATTCGAGAAGGTTCTTCGTTGATTGCTTGCAGTATGGTGAGCAGTTTCATATCTGAAACCAGAACGTGAATGAGTTCTACAGTCGACACCAGCATCAGGGCGTAGCGGAAGCAAATAATCGAAACCATGTATACCGAGCAATCTTTCTGTCCTTTGCAACTATAACTCAAGTGATTGCCTGTACAGCAGTACGTCATAGTAATGTACTTGGGTTTCAGACCACGAGCGATGGCACCCGGGAAAGACTCCGTCGAGAGGCTCATTGCTACAAGCCCCAGAGGGGTGCGGTTCTCGTGCTCGAATATGTGAGTGAGGAGGCAGTTGCTTGTAAAACTAGGCAATACCCTAAATTCTGGGAGAATGATTACTTGCGCAGCCATTTTCCCGAAAAAAGCTCCCAATTTCTTCCCTGAGATTTGTTGACCCCATCTTGAATGTGACTGGAAGGCAATCGTCAGGGTCAGCTTCTGATCCATTTGTTTTAAATTATCCAGAACCTTAACCCAATTTTTAATTTCTTCTTCTGTGTTCTTTGCTTGGATGAGGTAATCATCCACATGGATATGAATAGTTGCATGGGGATATTTATGGCGCAAATCTTGCAATCCGTTGAAGTTGATGATATCCTTAGGAAACAACGGTTCTGATTGAAATACATGCGGGGTAGCAGCTTTCCACTGAAGAAGATCTCGCGAAACTTGCAAGCTGAGAGCACTTCCCATGTTCAACAGCAAAACGAGATTATCATCTTGACCTTCTACAGCAAGACGCTGGATGCTTTGTAACAGTACCATGCTCTTCCCTGAGCAAGGTGGCCCAAAGATGACAGACGTCCGCGATGGATTACAGGCGATAGCAGAACAGAAACCACTTGCATGGCTCTCATGGAATACTTTCTTCGTGCTTTCAGGAGCGATCGTCGGATTAAATGTATTCTCACTTAATTGTGTTATATCCTTGTCCTCTTGCCATACCTTTCCAGAATACTTATATACATTTTCACAATATTCATGCATCTTTTCTCGAAACCCACTTTCTCCCGCTACCAAAACCTTGTTTGGTGCCATGCCCCATACGGTCACCTTCATCTCAGAATATTTCCCACCTAGCAGACCGTCTTCCTCGATAACGATTATCACATTGTCGTGGCATGAGGATATCAAGCGGACAAAATTCCTCCACTTGCGATAGCCCAGGTCCAGAATTACCTTGACGTCATCGCTGTGATATCCCAATATTTGATCATCAATTACAACTACGATTGTGGAGCTTGCTATTCCGCAGAATCTTCCATGAGAGTCAATGAAAGAAACGTTTGCATTGAAAAAACTTGTGAAAATATATATTAGACGATCCCGTCGCTCCATGGAATCCACCACCACAAATAATTTACTTCCGTTTCCATATCTGGCATGCATCCCAAGTACGGCCCAGGCAGATCTCACTGCTTCACAAGACAATTTATTCGGGCACTTGTCATGAACAACAGGGCATGACGGAATACAGAACAAGATCGGCAGGAATTCGATTCTTGAGTGGCCGAATTTCAGGTCCTTCATGCTCCGTTCTTGACTACTAAACATTTGACGGGAGTAGTCCCGAAGAGTCAAGAATAAGTCTGACACTAGTTTCGTGTTTCTCTTCACCGCACAAAGTAACTTTATGCTGGTACCTGCGATCCTTATTCCTGGTAAAGTGACTTCCTTCGTATATGTAGGATCATTTGACCGAAATGCGATAGTAAGACTCTTAACACACCCTCTAAGTGCGGATATCTTCGCCCAATGATTGGAGAGACTCATTTCATCAAGATCACCTTGATATCCAAGAGTAAGAGGGACTTCATCAAGCAGTGCATGTTTCCCCTCTCCTTGCCCATGAAGGAATGATATGATTGCTTCCAAGTTTTCTAAGATTCCTTCCTCTCGCCCATCAACGACTTTGATATTACTTTCACCTGGAAGAATATTGGGTATCTCAATACGCAGTAAATCTTTGCACGTATAACATTAGATTTTCTCGGGACCTCTTCAATTATCAATCAACCGATTTGTTTCCTAGAATTTGCTACTCTTCAATGTAGAGAGGAACGACGTGCAACAGATGTCGTCAGACGCATTTGTATGAGACAGAAACGTGCATAAATTATAGCAAAAGTAACAGATAAATTCCTCAAGTTACATGAAGTATACGTAGCAATTCCAAGAACTTGTAAATCCAACTTCGCCTCTTTATGAGCAATATAAATTACTAATGAAGTTTTCGAAGCTTACCCCCGAAAGATGCGGTCAACCTTGGTTAATGGGTTTGGCAATTCATGCGCAGAAGGCGCTCCCTCCTTAAACATGAAGTTATCCCATAAAATATTCGTAGTGACGTCATATGACTTCAACCATGAAGTTCACTAGGTAAAAATTAAGTGCGTCGTTTAGTGCTTAGTGAATTTAATTCCTGTATACGGTAGCTCCCTTCTTCTTTGCACATATCACGAAAAATATATAGCGGCAGACACATCAGCTTATTATTTCAGCGTTTTAAGGAAATAATTCCCTGCAGACCGTATTGACTATATGGGTAATTTCGTCCTTATATTTATATCTATATTTTGGGGAGAAGGATAATAAGGAAAATCCTTTTCCATGCTCTTCCTAGGGCTACATACATGTCAATGAGAACATACGTCATTCCGTAAATATGGCACATAGCTTTTGATGTTCCCGTTTTGCTAAAGGAAATGTGTTCACCGAAATGGCACTGGCCTAAGCATCGGTAAGAGCATTGGGTATAACCACACTGAATCGCAATGTCGAAGGGTAATCCTTCTACCAGTCTTCACGCTGGAAAAACATGTGCATTCGCATCTGCAAGTGTACCATTACACTACAATGCTTGTCCTTCCACCTAGCCTATGACCTATTAAGGAATAGGCTAAAATGCCTTGTATCTGAAGCTCAGGCAACAGGATTCTCGGGCAGTTAGACAAAAAAGTTCCTGGAAGCGAAAGGGTCAAGATTCCTGTGCGTCTGTTTGAGCGTTAGATATAGACCTGCTAAATCAGTCTTCTCGGGGCGCACACCTTCGAAGTCCAACTGCATCTGTAGTACGCTATCCAACAGTATAGGGTCAAGTGCAATCCAAGGATTGTCTCAAGTTCAACCAAGCCTACTTCCATTTGTTCACAAAAACCTAACCTTCAAATTACAGGTGAATTAGGCCTATAGATTATCTTGGGTTTTTGCAGACACCTCAGCGAGGCTGCATACATTTAGGCTGATTTAAACCTATTTTGATTTCAGCGAACCATTTTATTGAGGCAACGTTCGACCTTTCTGGAGCTCTTCGAACCATCCCCATGATGATGTCTCCAGATTCTCTCCGAAATCCAAATGCATGTTGAAGGCTTTCGCCAAAAACGATGTCAATTCACGATGTGCCCATATTGCAATCTCATTTCATCCCCTGAACTCAGCACATACAAGTACCATGCATTTAAAAAAAAAAACAAAAGTCCCAGGCACTAATACGAAAGCATCTGCAGCCATCAATATTGCATGACTCAAGCACCGCAATTGGCAACCATAGGAGGATGGGAATGAAGCCTGAACAGGTAGTCCTACATAATACATAATTATTCTTATTTATCAGGGCCATTGGAATACATCAGGAAAATTGGCCTATTGATGAAGCTGACACGAGAAATTACTTAAGCTTCAGAAAAAGCCTGTTATTTTGAAGCAGGGCAAAATGCATCGTGACTAACCTTGGAGGTTGGCATTGAGGATTTGAGTGAGAAGCCCACCGGCGACGTTCACAAATACCACTTTTCCATTCCTTGCAAGTCGCTTGGCTCTTTGTAGCAATACAGTGGTCTTTCCAGTACCTGATCCTCCCGCAATGAGGAGGAGCCATGATGATCTTTCATCTTCGTTCATTAATTGCATCTGCTGTGGATCCCAAATAAGTTCACTGCTCTGCATTTGGGCATGGGCAGCTTGGAAATCAATTGTGGGGGTTTGCGGCTCTTCAACTGAGGCACAAACATACAAGGAAAAAATATTGCGGAACACTTTCACTGCTACATGGCTGCATTCTACATTTTTCGAAGGCAGTTCAGCAACGCCATTGTTTTTGAGAAAGAGTCGAAGAGCATCTGGACTCCGGATATCGTCACTTGTCAAAATCTTCCATGGACATGATCCACAATTTATGAATTGAAGCAAATATCCCCTAGGTACAAAGGGGAAGGCTGGGAAAGAAGTGACTAATACGGATGGATCGAGGAAGGGCCCACATAACATGGTGAACTCAGTTCTGTCTTCCTCGCACTTTCGAATCGCATTCATGATCGCCACTTTCAAGTTCGTATGATTTAAATGCAAGTCCATTCTTCCTATCTGGAAGAAGACATTATGAATCTTATCACCTGCAGGATATGACAAATAAATGTCATGAGTACTATTCCTTTGAGTCTTTTCTTCCACTTTCCCCACCTCTGAAAGTGCTCTTGCTAATGCCTTGTTCAAATTAGATAGTTTGTAATCCGCAAGCAGTAAAGATGGAGCAGAGCCGCACACGTCTTTCACTCGATCGAACATAATTGCAATCGCTTGATCATCGGGGGGAAGGTCTCGTTCCTCCCCATCGTTCTTCTCGAGACTTCGATTCTCCATACGAAAAGGGGTGTCCAATGTTATACTCTTGGGAAGGAAACCCAATGGAAGCGAATAGTGGATTTTTCCTGCCTTGGGGTAATGCTGTTGAATATATTCCTCGGCTGACTCCTTGAATGGTTTTTCAATGCCAACTTCCACGTTTACCTGAAAAAAATTACACAGTGCAAGAAGCATGAACTGCTGTCCGAGTGGGTTTTTGACATGAATTTCTTTGAGAGATCTAGAATTTCATTCTGCTAGCATCATAGCCCATCGAAAAAAATCCTATACGATTCCCATAGGAATGCATTGTAATTTCCATAGGGATCTTACAGAAATACCCCTTAAATTTCTACATGAATCCAATAGGTTTTCAGCTAAAAAAAACCTATATGATTCCTTCAGGAACTGTTCGTCAGGGCACACACTTATTCCACTAAGGGAGTTTGTCTCGAATGGAGATGGTCTCGAATGGAATAGGTGAAGGAACAATGGACAGTAGTCCACTGGTCCTTCACCTATTCCAGTAGTCATATTTTTGCTTGCAAGATGCAAACATTCCAGTTCTGCTTCTATTTCCGGTAATATAATATGTTTCAGTAATACAGACCTCTGATTTTCAATAGAAAGGTTGACCATAATTGGAGGAATGGCTGTGCTGCTATCGACTTCAAGTCCTGTCAAATTTCCAAAGATGGTTTCCTGCCCATACTTTATCCACAGAATGCCATGTCGCTGTTATTCCTTTTTCTAGTTGTCATTATTATTATATGCGTCTTTCTTGTTCTTTTAATTCCAGATCAGCGTCAATCTATCAGTTACCATTCAATATATGCGTTAACAAAGTTGTGAATGGGCTGTCAATTGCGAAACTCTGTCGTGAAACTGGCAGAAAAAGAAATAGTGAGCTTTACAGCATATCTGAAAGACATTATGATGTATTTGATGCATGTTTGAGAGACTAAATGAGATCTCGTCAATTCCAGTCGAGACCAATGTTGTTCCTCACACTAACCTGGAGGTAATCTCGGACGTCGCATCCAGCTTCGCGAGGGCATTCGGATGGAGAAGTAACTCCATCGATTTCACGGCAAAATTGACACCCATCCTATTGAGAGAGAAAATAATTAAATCGTTCAAAAAAACGGCGGGATAGTGTACCGTTGTAAACACACGACAAACATTAGTAAGGCAATTCTACACTTTCCATAAATGTAACTGTCTAAATAAATAAAAATTAACATTGAAGTTCGCAATATCGCTTTCCTCATTTCCGATGGTTTTAGACCTAATTAGGCGTATTTTGTGATGTGTGCACTGAATGTATCCAAAGATTCCAAGATTCATACTATGAGAAGCCTCCGAAACACAAGGTCTACCGTCTCTTTGCTTATATTCATTCCCCTCCGTGCATCACCACACCCATGAGATTCCCCTATATCACCACACCCATATGAACTTTACTTTCCTGACTTTCACACATCCCCACGTCCCAAGTATATCCCAAGGCCATCCGCGGCATGCAATCCCTTTGCATGCCTCATTTGAACGTCGTGTCTTTCACTGCCCGTCCTGACAGCCCATGAAAGTGTTTTCTGGAATGTTTTGAATGCTGAACTTTGGGATGCAAATAGGCCGTATCTGGAACCTTCTCATGGAACAGAAATGAACAGCTCGCGAAAAGGTGATATTATTCGAAAATTTATATTCGTGGAATAATATCCGGTCGAGTTGGAGCAACATTTCGGCAAAGCAAGACTTTTAGGAAATCTTTGGTGATGATGGCAAAACAAGAATTAGAGAGTGCCAGCCCGAAGTACCAGACGAACAATCTTGGAATAATATTATGGCTGAGACAAGACGTCCGCTGCGAGGTTCATCTTCCAAGTTCTCTCTTCCCTGTTTCAAATTTGCTACCCACTTTTTCATTAGTCAAATAATTCGGTGCATCATTTCTCAGCATCTGCTGCATATCCGCGTGGATATCTTTCGCATTTTGGCCTTTCAGAAAAAGGTATTGAATAACGGCCCGGTGCGCAAATTCCTCCATGTCGACTGACAACTACGCAAAATCACTCGCAATTATTTGTTTAATATGAACCACTAATAATATTGTCATGAAACTGTGCATACTTTGATGCAATATGTTAAACTCCAATGTATGTAAACGACACTCACTTTGCCTATCCCCTTCCTACTTAGGGCGAGAACTTTTCAGCCACCCCTCGTACATCAGCAGGTTGACGATTTCAAAATTTCTACTATGTGGTGAGTGGATCAATTGCAAAAGTAATTATGACTCTGGGGCTATGCAAGGTAGGGGTAAAACAGGATTTATATGAAAAATATGGAAGTTATGAAGCATGTACTGTAAATCAATTAGCTCGAGCATTACATGAAAGAAAGGACCATAGATGTGAATTTAAAATTTGATTAGGGCTGGTATCTTGACTCCCGAAAACATGAGACTTAGTAAAATAATGTCTTAACTTGAAAGGTTTAAATGGCTTAAGCGATGCAGTTTCAGGTAAAATGGGGTTCATACATGGAACTTTGAGCGCTGGTAAATAGGTTGCTGGAATCGGTAACTGGAATAATAAGATATTAAGAAAACGTAGATGGCCAAGGTTCGACATGCTGCTTGATTTTCCCTCTACGTCAGGCCTTCTTCGCTGACTCAGCCTCGTGGACTTGATAGTTATCAGTTAATGAGAGCATTTGCAAACAATTAAGGAACACCAGTCGCCTATGCCAATTGCAATTAATATCCTTCTCTCGTCCTTTCCCCATCTGATAATTCATGCACCTACTTATTTCATACTTCGTTTAGTTTGCATGTCTTGCTACTGCGAAGTTATTTGCTCATTTCATGCTGCAGTCAGACAACAGTGACTCCCCTTGTGCAACGGCAGCACAGATGAGTTGACGTGAAATGTGACAAATATCACATGAATGATGCATCTACTTCTCAATATTCTATCAAGATTTCTTAATTATCCCAAAAGAACCTAGAAAGTATTGATTTAATTGGGATTGCAAGCATCAAAACAATGACTTCGGCGATATTTATATGTAAAGGAAAAACTTATTCATCCATCAATGCCATCCGACGGAGAATTGGGAGATTCACCTGGAGAAAGTTTCCGAAGCTATTCAATCTCAGCAGAGTTGGTTCGTCGATGAAACTCAAAATTCCGTCGGAAATTTCAATCAATTCCATTCGTCCTTCTTCGTGCATGGTGCGCCAAAGTTGTTGATGATCTGGCAAACAATCGATAATGAAGAGATTCGTTCGAGCTCTCGATATGCTTTCCAGGAGCCAGGAATCCTCTACGTTCACGGATATGGAAACACTCGATTCACATCCTCGAAAGTCCTTGGGATGCACGAATTGCAGCCTTGCGATTTGATTTTCACTGAACGCTTTCAAGAGAGTCGTTAGTCCTCTGTCCGAGACCAAAACGTGAACTAATTCTTCACTGATGGCTTGTGTAAGGGCAAAGCGGAAACAGAAAAATACCTCCATGTACGTCCTACATTTACGTCCTTTGCAATTGTAACTTTTATGATGCCCTGTACAATGATACTTCATTGTAATGTACTTTGGTTTCAGGCCGTGGACTATGGCACCTGGGCGGGACGCTGTGGGTAGGCTTTTCGCTTCCAGTCTCAAGGGAGTGTGGGTCTCATTCTTGCAGATGTGATTGAGCAGCCAGTTAGCAGTTCGGCAATAAAAGGGTTTGTGTGCAGACGTTATAATCACTTGCGCCCCAACTTTTTCAAAAAATGATGACAGTTCCTTCATAAAGACTTCTCGACCAAATCTTGAATGCGACTGAAAGGCAATCGTCAGCGTCAGCTTCTGGTCGTTTTCTTTTAATCCATCCAGTATTTCGGTCCAGTTTTGAATTATCTCGTTCGCGCTCTTGGCCTGGATGAGGTAATCATCGACATACACGTGGATGGTCGAATCGGGGTATTTCCATCGAACAATCGCGACTACATGATTATCGATGAGGTTCTGTGGAGACCACGCCTCCCAGCGGACCACGTCCAACTTATCAGTATAGGGATGCAGATACTCCAGTGAGACTTTCCAGCTCAGTGGGCCTCCCATATGCAATAGGAGAACACGATTCGTTCCATGATCTGGTTCAAGAAGCCTCTGGATGCTCTCAATTATTAGCATGCTCTTTCCCGATGATGGAGGTCCGAAGATGACATTGAGTTTCGAGTGACTCCAGTCAATGTCAGAGGGGAAGATTTCCACCCTCTTCAGGAAAAAAGTCCTTTTTGGTGAATTTTTCTCCTCTAAATGTGCTATTTCCTCTGCGTTTAGTTTCCAAGCCTGTTCCAGTCTCCTATTCAGGGAATCCATGAACTTTTCTTGTATAGTCATTGTCTTTTCCTTCATCAAGGCTGGCATGGTCATCTCAATTTGGAAATATTTCCCTGTTCGCAGAGCTTCTTGCTCCATAACGATTGTCACATTATCATAACATGAGGATACCATGCGGATATAATTTCTCCATTTGCAGTCGGCCAGATCCATGATAACGAACACACAGTCTTGATGGCATCCAAGAATCTGGGCATCAGTAAATACTATGATTGAAGAGTCTGGTGGTCCACGGAATCTTTCGTAGGAATCCATCCATGTAACTTCAGTGTCGAACACATGGTCCAGGATATTAATCAGCCGATCTCGTCGTTCCTTGGAGTCCACCACGACATACAAAGGCTTTTCGCTTCCAGAGGATTCACGAATCATTAGTATGGCCACAGAGGCTCTCATTGCTTCGCAGGTCGATACATTCTCGCAAAAGTCGTGTATGTTTGGGCATGAAGGAATGGGGAACAATGTAGGCAGGTACTCGTTGTTGGACTGGCAGAAATCTATGTCTTGCATGGTAGGTTCTTCGCACACAAATATTCGGCGTGAATAATCCGCGATGGCTAGAAATAAATCCGATACCAACCTCGTGTTTCTCTTCACTACATTCAGAATGTTCATGGATGCTCCTCCAATCCGCATTATTTCGAGATTGATGTCTCTCGTGTACGTTGCGTCATTCGGACGGAATGCTAGGGTGAGAGTCTTCATATGCTTCTCCAGATTGGATATCTCCGCCCATTCCTCGGAGAGGCTCTTATCATGCATGTGGCCTTGAACCCCTAGAGTGAGAGGGACTTCGTCGAGCAGAACATGCTTCGCTTCTCCTTGCTCGCGGAGGAAAGCGAAGAATCCTTCACGGTCTTCTTTAATTCCATGTTCCTTCCCATCTAAAACCTTGATGTTCTTTTCCCCTGAAAGTATATTGAAAACTTATGAACGTCTACTTCCCCTTCCTTCGAAACTCGCCCTGCTAACCTTCCTCTATGAGTCATTCCATGCCAGATTTCAGACTTGGCCCAGCGCAAATATTCAGGAAGCATATTTCCTGATATGGAGGTCGTGACAGTTTTGAACCAGATTATTTCCTTGGATGTCAAATCTCTGCAATTTTTCTAGTTCTTAGTAAGTTACACTGACAAATGTAATGAAGATATTAAGAGAAACTGGCAGTGAAATATAAAGATGATGATGTTATATCTAAAAAAGAGCTAGGCAATGTCTTCAAATTTTGGTCTTCAAAATAAGTTAAATTTCAATGCAATTTAAAATACCACGACGTTTTTAAAATGCACATATATGTTTCCCAATTCGTGTTCAATCCATCACATGAAGTATATGTTTTCCTGCTCAAACATTATCGAGGTGGAGTTGAGCGCTCGATGGTGAATGTTGTCTCGAAATGGTCGAAAAAAATATTCTCAGCGATCAGGATTTCGGAAAAACATGATCAAGCTTACGACTCGAAAGAACTTCGAGAGATCTATCATTTTATGGCATAAGAAAAACTGTACTTAGAATCAACGGAAAGTTATTAAAGGTTAACGTTGGACAAATATGGCAAAATATGCAATTTCGTGCACACTTAGCAGTTTTTTCGAGCGACTTAAAAAACGAAATGCATGTATCTTTTGATCAATAAAAATAGAGAATGATAGACTCCGGAAAGCCGGTAGAGTTATACGCATTTTTACCGTGAATTTTTTAAGCTGAAAATTTGAGTATTTCGTGAATTTAAAAAAGCTGTAACTTTTCCCAACAAGATAATCCCAGTTGGTGCAGCAACCACTTGACATCGAATGACTGCTATACTTGATTTTTAACCCCCTTAGTTGAAAAAGATATAACCAGGTAGTACCAAGTTTAAATTGGGAGGGAAACTACAATGGGTGCCTTCCTCGGAATGGAGTTTTCTCATTTTTAGCCCCTAAAGCGATGTCGATCAATGTCATATTTTTCGAAGTGCTTTCATTTATGAAACGGAAGTATCTGGGTTTCATAATAATATGAAGGATTTGAACAAGTTAGGTGAGGTTTCTGTTAGGTTTAATTATTTTTATAACCGGAAAAGTGACTTCAAAGAGCGTTTCAACATCGGCAACTATTTAGGAAGATCGCTAGGTCGATTGAAATCAGTGAAACGTCAACTGGAAATAGGAAGCTCATGAGGAAATGGTGAATGAAAGATACCTTTTTGAAAAATCCCATGGGTTATCACGACAATATTTTTGGAACGTTATATCGTTTCATTTAATTTTTTTCTTTTTGAGATGAGCGTCATGCATTTCCCTTAATTCAATGTTGCTGGAAGTGCGTATTCTAAAGAAATACTTATGCTGTATTAAAATACGCTAAGGTGCGTCATGGTCCGTGTAGCCTATGAGCCTACATTATTTGTCTATGTCATGCTCTGGATAACTGTTAGGCATTCAGCCTTTTTCCTTTCCAGATGATATGCTGGGTGGGAAAAGTTAAACATTTCCACAATAAACATGTAATGCGGCCCCGGCTGCAGAACTGAAGCGATGAGGCAGCTTAGGTCTGCATTAACCAGGAGGCAACATGAGGATATTAATGTCGTGTGGAGGGCTGACTAGAGGGAGCATAGTGCTGCGTTAGCAGAAGAGCAGTGTGAGGTTGTTAATTCTACGTGCAGATAGCACTTGTACGCGTCGAAGCATCTTCTCATACTCGAGATGCGAATAATTCGAATCGCAAATAAAGATGCATGGCCGATATATACGGTGATATCGGTAACGTAGGTTTAGCATTATTGTAGATCATCTGTTATATTATGAACATTTATGAGTATACTTTTCCTGGTTAATTTTGGAAGAGGAAACTCCGGCACAGTGTGAATGAATTTACTATGAAATTGTTTTGGCACATCAGAATATCGACATGGAATTAGTGGACCCTGAGGCCGAACGAGGTGATTTTCAGACAGGATCAAATGTGCTTGGAAAAAAAAACCAAACTATTTCCTCGTTTTTTCGAGATGAATTCCGTGTTTCATAAAAAAGTATAGTTTTTTTTACTCACCTCGAAATTCGTACCGGAAGTCTTCTGTGAGCCGCCCCCCTGGAAGGTTCACCACTAATACTTCTCCAGTAGGGTCTTCCCTTGCTAATCTCTTGGCTCTCTCCTTCACAACGATGGTCTTTCCAGTGCCTGATCCCCCGGCCAATGGGAGGAGCCAAGATGATCTTTCGTCCACTAGTCGTTTCTGCTCAGGAGTGAGGATGCACAGAGTCCTCTCAATTTGTTTGTTGCTGGCTTGGAAAAGCTGGAGGTTGGTTCGTGGCATGGCTACCGAAGATGACGCGCAAATGTAGAGGGAAAAGATCTCCCGAAACAATTTTTTAGCACTGGGAGTACTTCCGGCACCAGTTGCGGTCGGCTCGGGCAAGCCGTTTTTCTGCAGGAAACGTCGAAGGGCATCTGGATTCTGCACGTCTTCTCCTGTCAAGACCTTCCTTTCGCACGACTCGCAGCGAAGAACTTCGTGCAACTGTCCCCGGTCGATGAACGGGAAGGATGGGAAAGCGACAACTACCGCAGCGGACTCCAGAAAGGAGCCGCACACTGCTTTGAATACAGCCCTGTCTTCGGCACTCATGTACTTCGCTTTTGCTATGATTCTTTTGACTGTGTCTCGGTTTAATTTCAGGGAAGTATTTTGTCTCGTTTGGAAGAATACATTATAGACCTTATCTCCGCTCGTGTACGAAAAGAAAATATTATGAGAACCTTCTTTCAGCTCCGGAATGTCTTGATCTTCTTTCAATTTCTCTTTTTCACCTGTCGGCATCTTGTCAAGGGTTTGATTGTAGGTCCCATCACGATTGAAAGTCTCGGAAAACACGTAGTCGGCAACCACCAAAGATGGAGCAGAACCACATATGTCTTTTAATCTATTGAAAATGACAGCAACGGCTTCGTGCTCCAGTGGAAGGTGCATAACGTCTTTTCCATCGGGTTTCGTGAGTTCCTCCTCCGCCTTGGAAAGGAGATCGTCGAAGTTCTTGGCTTTCAGCAGAAGACCAGACGGGAGAGAATAGTGGCATTCCCCTGCATTAGGGTAGTGCTGCTGAATGTAAAGCTCAGCGCCTTCCATGAATGGTATTTCGTTGTCGCCTCCAGTGCAAATCTGGAACAAGTGCAATCCATCACCAGGAATCATTCAGATTCTTTTTTTAAAAAATCGGATAAAAAGTTGAATATTAACGTAATACCGGCAAAATCAAGCACGATCGTATTTTTTTTAAATACCTGGGAACATCTAACTCATCTTAAATGAGCAGATTGCGATCAACTCTACTGTACAAGCTGATTGAAATATACCTCCCTATTTTCAAACAGATATAATTAATGTTGTTGGAAAGATAAAAGCATTGTTCAAACGGCATATCTAAGATAATTTAGCACCATTTGATGCCACTTGGATTAAAACTCCACATTAACACCAGCATCTTCCACAGTTTCTCTTACGCGCACAGTGACATTATCCATGGAGCGTCGGAGAAACTGCTTGAAAGATTTTTGTGTAACTTCAAAGATAAAACTCGCAGACAGGTCAAGATCTCTTGGTTTTCTTTGGCAAACATTTCCCTTAACCCAACTCCGAAAAAATGAATACCACGGGAGTGAGATCAGGGCTTCTCGCTGGCCAAAATGCTGGTTCACGCCTGCATGTTTGGAAAGCTGAAAATTTACAGAATTTTGTGCAGCCTGAAGTCTCTCGGTGACCCAATGCACATCAGTAGCTCTTTAAGCAGGATGGGGCTCCACCCTTGTCAAGGCGCTCAACTGATTGACAAGTTTTGTATTGTAGTTTTCCCTTGTTCTGACCTTGACATCATAGCACTGGTCCTGATATCATAGCACTGACCTTGAGGTTATCACAGATATCAAATCCATGAATGCGCTGGCACTCGGTTGGAGAAGCGACTTCGCCAAGATCGTTACCGCACCGACACTCTGACTCTAACTGTGGGAAATACATGCAGCAAAAACGACATGAAATGTTCTAAAAAAATTGTTCATGGTTCAATACTCACGCTTTCCTAACGAATGGAATTCATTTTTTAGTTAACTAGGAATGTCGCATACACGTATGCATTAGCCAGTTGGTATAATTCTCAATAATTTCATTTTTGATCCAAGGTTTTATAAATGTAGGTTTTTACTCTCATTATTATTTTGAAGTATATAATAATTATCAGATAATGGAAGAATGAACATGATAAAGCGAAGGCGCTGTTCCGGAACAAATCTTGAAAAGCAAAAAATAACTGCTGTGATAAAATATACTTACACTTCCCTAACTCGTTGTGAATGACATGAATTTGCAATCGCCTGTGGGACTTTAAAGAATGGAGGTTATAACATTCGGAGACCAACCTGTTCGAGCGTTGAAGTCGATAACTGCATGCCACGCATTGCACCTTCAACTGGATACAGTTCTGTCGGAGTGGCTGGGTTGCTGAGGGGAAGAAAGGTAAACAATTGGATCAAATAGCTTCCTACCAACGTGGAGAACTCGTATGGGCATGAAGAATGAGTCTCTAGCAATGCACCAATCACAATCTCGTTTTCCCCAGCAAGGCAATGCTTCCCAGCAGGAACAGCTGGTAGGCCCGTAGAGAGCGGGGGAGGGCAAGGGGTAGAGGGGATCATGTTGGCATCCAATCCAGTATCACAGGATGAACAGAATCAGTTTCACAGAATATTTGATCCTGTGAAAGAGGGTCGGCGCCGTCTTAACCCTAATCCGGGCAAGGTGAGTCCGCTGGACTCACTACGACATATTTCGGTCTATTACTGTCATTATTTTTTTTAAACTATCAGGACCATTGAGTAAATTGTCTGTATTATTTTAGTTACAGTACTGTTATTTATAAGAATACATACCGTAACCGCAGCAAACGGCCTTATTTTACATGAGTCTGACAGACTCACCTTGCCCGGAATAGGTAGTAAAAAAGCTTGCCCGGATGAGGGTTAATGGTCCCCCGAGCGCGAGACATAAGAAAAATGACCTCTTTTTGGTCCCTCTACCCCCACCGCAGTGAAATAGCATGAGAAACCTTTTCTCAGCGCTACAGGAGCATCATCGATGTTAACGTTTCGATTGAACCAAAAATCAACTTTGAAATTGACAATATATCTATGCAATTTTAACATACTGTATTACGGTTTAGATCAATAGCCATAAATCAATAGTAGATCAATAACCAACGAATTTTATGGTGAAATTAAACCAAAGAAAGTTTTTTGAATTCGAGTTTAAATGCAAATATGTTCATGTGCAATTTTTTGTTAGTGCGACACATGGAACACATCCAAGAAAATTGTAGATGATGAGATGAAAACTAAATGAATATGGTAAAATGTTTGCACCCAGCTTTGCAGCTTTGCATAGTTGACAATCAGTGGAGGTCCTTTCCAATACAGAACATAGATTCTGGTGAATGTTAGTATTTTGGTGCCACGTTTCCATTCTGCGTACGCAAATTTCGTGTGTTCTATGTGTCCCACTAATAAATTATGACACGTGAAAAAAAGATTTTACCTTCAACCCGAACGCAAAAAATTAATTAATTTTAAGTTCATCTTTGTAGCCGCACGGACGTTGGCCTATACAATAAGAAGTCCCCAACAACTGGACACGTTTTTTCATTCCCCCATAGTACCTATGGGGAACGGCAAATAGCTAGATCTCGTATAGCTGGAGTAATCTTATCAAATCAGTGGCGACACATCGTATGCATGAACTTACGATGGGAACTTTCCGCGTACTGCATCCGGTTCGCGGATATCCTGAGATGCTGCTTCCATCTGTTGACACGTTCTCGTCTGTGGTGGAGGGGCTTCGAGTGCTGCACCGGCGATTGGTACGTCCAAAAGCTTACTAGTATCTGGACCTGCACTGGGTTGCTCAGAATCTCGCGTGAGCATGGGATCTTCATCGACTTTTAACGCCTTCTCCAATTCTCCAAACGAAGTCGTGTCGATTAGGTCGAATTTCATTGTTGTTGCTTTTTTTTATACAAAGCTCCAGGGAGTATAGGTGGTAAGGCTATGCTATTTCTTGTTGCTCACACGATTCAATTGAACCGAAATACTGAAGAACCACTGTCTTATTTTCCAAAGTTTCTCTTGGGTATACATGTAGTTAAATTTTTCAGATGGAGGCTGAGCTTCGCGAACTCACTGTTCCTATCATGCTATGGACACGTTCAGATCGTAACCTGATTTCTGAACCATATTTTCAAGCGAATTTTTAAGGGATCACTTCAATCTTGAACGTAGTGTTTCTGCAAATTTATTTATAATTTTTGCATTTTTAAATCTAAAATTGTATAGTTTGCAAACATGTTGCATTTTCTTTATAATTTTCTCACCTCCTTTCAACTTTTCGGCAAGGTCAACGTGATTCCTCTTCCGCAATATCTCAACGAACGTGGAGAATGCACCATCCCTGCTTCGAGGCAGGCACTCCTGGATGAACAGGACCTTTTCCTTAAGATTCTTCTTGCCGACTTCGATGTACTCCGCGTAGTCGACGATCCCGTCGGCGTGCAGGTCGGACAAGACCTTATCGATCTGGATGAAATGCAACTCATCCGAATAACGAGCGAGGATCTTCCCCAAGCAAGCATTGAAGCTTTTCCCCCCTGTAACACATTAGAAACAGTTCCTGTGTGACGTGCATTTGGCGAAATTCAGATGAGGTCGCACTTCCTCACCCATTGACGAATCCTAGAAGAGATTTGTCGAGTGTCAACTATGCGCTCGCCTCATCGTAGTACTTGGTAGAAAATCCTCCTCATGGGATACTGTCGATGATTATTTTCTTCCTAAAGTCATCTTCTTTCACTGCTGCTGTAAAAAAAAAAGAAAGGAATTTGCTACGTACTGATGTAACTGATGGGAGGCTCGTACTCCAGTTCACACCATGACCATGCATGATACAACACTATCTCCAGAAAAGACAGTTTCCTAGAAAATGAATGCAATTGATATTTCATGCCTCCCTCATCGAGTCACAAATCGAGTCTCTGGACTCCATAATCATGATGGCGGTAATACCGTGAAGCACTGTCATCACTAACATTTGCGATGAACCTCCCCAATGGGGAAAAATCTGTCACCTGCTCTATGAAGATGATCGATTAAGACTGCTGATGTGGGTGCACCACATTGCAATACAAGTCACTCGAATCGAAGGTAGAGTCAGTTTCTTTCCTCTCTAGATAAAGCTTATCGCGAAGAAATATGGCTCTCGATGTATCAGGTGTTTCTGGAATGATATCATCGTAGAGAAAGCAATAAGAATCTCTGTATCTCCTTTGATGTGAAGGAGCCTTCCATTCTAATGCATGAAATTTGGCCACGGATGCTTCCTTTCCACAAAAAATACCTCGAAAGAGGTAGTTCCCAGCTCTCAGAGGCGCAGGGAGCGGGTGAGATGTCCGGAATGTTCCTCCTCGTCGCTGGGCAGAACACACTGCGAATGCGAACAGGAGGCTACCCACTATATCTGAGACTGTTTCATGGCGGGGCGTGGGACTCTCGTGAGACCCACAACGACAACGACACGTCCTCGTGAAAGTAAATTATTTTTCCTGCAACTTTGTCATGGGTTGATCAATGTAAAGATCCGTCGAATGATCTCTGAAGGAAGTTTCCACAAGGATTATAGATATACTAGCGGCCTTAATCATACATATACTATTTTGTCACTGTTTATCAACAAAGAATAGTCTTCGATATGTTCCTGCTCCAAAACTTTGATATACAGTTCACGATGGAACATATATTCATGAAAGATATTCTGAGGCACAGCGTGCTACATTTGCCAATATGCAAAAATTACAACCAAAATTATTTCAATATGAACAAAGTAAATAACAATGGATGGAACTATGAAATATCATGAAACGGGACACGTGTGGGAACGAAGCGGTAAGTTTACATCATAAGCAACAAAAATAGTCCTGATGAACGGATTTGACGAAATCAGAAGTGCCTCTTTCAGAACCACATCGTCGGAAACGGCGCCAGCGTTAGTTTTCATCAGCTGCAGTCCATCGATAACCTTCAGCGAAAACTCAGAGCGAACTCGCGAGTAGGCACCATACAAATGCCACGCATGGAATCCGGCTCATAAGTAGTTATCCGATTTCAACAAATGTTTCTCCCTGAAACTTGTTTTTATGTGTAGCTAAACTCGATAGGGAATTGACATTCCCAAAGAGGGAACGGAATTCAGACTTGGGTTGACGTGTCCAGTGAATCTCTAGGCAGCAAGTGAACGCAGTCACGAAGCGCACCCGTCATTACTTTAACTAATAAGGCTGTTCAAATGAAATGGGGACTTTTAATCCCCTGCTTTAGACTAATCTTAGACTATTATTAACAGCCAACGCCCCCTTTTTATTTGAACCCCATTTGTATTAAGACATTTGCGTTCAGGTCTTTCACGACGATAGGCGTGTCGATACAAAAGTTGTTCCCAAACATACGACTCCATACACGGATCAGAATATATCTAATATATCTAATTTTTAGGTTTAGGGCGCACGAAAATAGAGAGAGTATTGATACTGTTGACGAATCGAACCGGAAAGGTGGCCTGCCGATCGGTGTCATCACCACCATGATCGTTATTCACAATTTGGATACTGTGATTTGTGCCCAATTCGCCTTCTGATCGGAACAAGTTCTCATTTGACCAAACTGGAGTGCAAATTCCTGGAACACGGAATGAGAATTTGCTCATCACTTCGGCATCGCAGACCCCATGTCGTTGCCCAAACAGAATTCGTTCAATTTATTATCTGCAATATAATCGTCTGGTAAACCCACGATGAGATCATATGGATCGCCCATAGACTTCAACGGATTTTTGGAAGCGATAAGGAATATTATCGATAATGTCAACAACTTTCGCACCGAAAGGAAGCGGACGCGTTTGTGCTGTTGTCTTGTCTATTAAATCGCGGAAGTTGCGAGCGTTTCCATCAGTGGAAACTCCAATGGGTTACGAATGGAACACCGCAACATGATCATTAAACCAACCTTGAGGAAGTTTACATTTTTCCGCTTCGGAATGAAATGCCAGGCAGTGCCCAACATTCAACATGCATAAGGTCGCGAAACGGCTGGAATGACGTTGAGGGTCCTAGCCAACGCAACTCGAGTGGGGTTAAATCGTTCGCCGCGTGCACGCGCTGCTCGCCGCGCAAGTATTAACAGCCTGATATTGTTCTGCAATTAATGCATCTCTCCTCTCGGCATTAATATCTTCAATTGACTCGTAGGTCAGTGCAGACCTACAGAGCCTCCGCTTCTCTTGCGCGGGCGCATCACATCACATATTGTTCAGTTGTTTAGCACACCCCCAACCAACTTAATTCCTGCAAAGGCACATGATTGTAGGCAAAATCAATTACAGGGACGCGTCACTAAACGCGCCTAGCCTATGACATGGAAAGGAAAAGACTCGTAGGCCTATCGGCTACCTTGCCTATGATCCAGAAAAGGAAATGCGGATAGGCCTTGAGGCTACCTAGCTTATATCTTTGAAGGGCAAAAGCCTTATAGGCCAGAGGCTACACCTACCATCAATCACCTTAGTGTATTCTAATATAGTATGGATGTGGCTGGTTTAATTACCGATTTTTCTACCGAACATCGCAGGACATTGGAACATTTGAGTCCTGAAACCGCTGCTCCCACGAGATTGAGAACTCACTGGATTTGCGAAAATCTTTGTAGGGAGTTTACTCTTACTCCAGTTCCCAACACTTTCCCGTTAACATCGCGACCAATTAGAAAATGGCGATGAATGTGTGTTTGTGCGTGAATGTGACCCCTCCACAGACCAAACGCTTCGAGATATGAACTTGTGGGTTCAACAGAAATCTTCCTTATCATCCGAGGATGTGCCTTTGCCATATTAAATTTGCAAATCGCACTCACGAATGATAGGGGAGACAACGTTCAAATAAAATCGGAGATCCGCTCTCGTCTCCCCATTTTTCGGACGTGGAAAGGAAACGAGATCTGCCGTGGAAAGGAGACGCTGAACAGTGCTCAATCCAGACCAATTATCGACCAATTATCAGGGAAACGGGGGATTTCAAGCGTCCACGACGAAATACGGCTGATTCGTCAGTTCGATGCCACTTGCGTTCATACGAAATCCGCAAGGAAGTCATTAGCCACAGTTTCCTCGTAGAAGTCCATTTCTGAAAATGCAATATTGCACGCTTCCATAATGACGCGCTGTTGCATCGCATCGCCTTCGGGCCCTTGAAAACGCTCACGATCGGGGCAAGGCAACTGACGAGAGCGAGAAATCTTCAACGCTTGCATCGTTTTCCCTCAACACAGTCGCCTTGGGAGATGCCAATAAGTTAATAATATGATGTATGGGAGACCGAAGCTTGCAGCAAATAATGGTGATTTTCAAATCGTGAGTGTGCCTTTTTTCTACATGTTCCTTGTTTTCCTTCATTCGGCAGAGCTGATGCACGACGCTAGCCGTTGATGTTTCCGAAAGTGGGACTCCACGACATTTTGCGAACCCTCATCGCTTCCATTCCGCGGATTCAATATGCTTATAGGTCGCCCAAACCGCTTAGTCTGTGACCTTGGAAGGCAAAAGCTTGTGGGCCTGTTGGTTACGCGAAACGCATTCACGTACCACGTCTTCTAATATACAGTAAGGCGTGTTCCGTTTGGGAATGGATAAAAGTATAACTAAAAACAAAACTGTGAGTGTTACCGCACTCATTTTTTGTGTGTTTGTCCTTGAGACTTCGAAGTTATGCATGCACACAACTCAGCATGGGAGTATCAAAGATGGCGGTGAATGTACAACAACGTAACACGTGTGTTCTTGTGTGCAAGATAAACGCGAGCACTGTTTCTTTTTCCAGCAAGATGGCGCACCGCCACACTGGTCTTTAGAACTCGGTGATTATCTGCGTGGTACGTTCAACGAAAACTGGTGTGGTCGTAGCATTGCTTGGCCCCCAAATCCACCCGATATGACACCATCATGTTTCTTCGCATGGGGTTCTGTGAAGAACACTGTGTGTGCTCAACGACCAACCAAATTGATGGCTTGAATCAATGGGCTTTGGCAGCGCCCATTACCTTTCTTCAACAGTCTCGTCTTCCTCTCTGAGAGAGTCAACAGGAACGAAATTTGGCATACTCTCTCAACACAGAATCGATCCAGCAAATTTGAAGCTCCATCTCTCCGGGGTTTCGGAGAACACTGAATCTCGCTTTTGAGAGATGAGCAATTTTGGGTAAGTTTCATTCCGGTTTTTTTTTTCACCCACCCGGGTAGCCACTCCTGGACGGTTTTCGGAGAAATTGGTGGCAAGAAGTCCCCTTTTTGCTTTCAGTGTACCATTTCGCCATGAAAAAAATGAAACTAAATGCCGCCCATTTAGGCTCAGCGCAATGACTCCGGTCCCGTCCTCCAGTGTTGCCGGATATGACGCTGGCGTTAAGTCAGATTCATGACTTCTTCGGATTTTGGTTTAGATATCTCATCGGACATCCATAACTTAACACGATGGCGGCCAGCTCGCTTGTCACGCTTTCTAAAGGCCCTTTCCTCTCAGAACGAGTCGAGACGATTGGAGGAACTAGGTCTAATGTTCCCCGACCGCTCTGAAATGGCTCATGAAACTCGAGAAAGACCTACATTCGATCTAACGTTACACGTT